TAATTCCAAAACATTTGTATCCTCCCACTGCCCCCAGCTTATTAAACTTAGGTCGATAATAACATTACAATGATTAAGTGCTCCTTTTTCCTCCAAACTTCCCAGAAACCAGCATGGAAAGTGCAGAGGGGTAGATTATCTTATAAAAGAAATACATAATTACCAGTAGTGAGAAAACACTTTTTTGCCGAGATTTTAAGGACCATATGGGGGAACTGGTATGAGTTTTGACATCTCTGTCCGTCGCTGACAGCTGGGGCGGCTGGCGGGAGTGACGGCGCGGCAGCAGCTGCTGACTGGAAGAAGTGTGACCTGATTGCCCAGATTCTGGCCTCTTGCCCCCAGCAGGCTCTTTCACTAGACGATTACCACAGGGATGTCTGCCCGCAGGTAAACAACTTGGTTTTCACTGTGTGACGACTATCTGCTTGCTCACACAAAGGGGACTTTAATGTTTCTTTGATGGGGAGGTAAAAGCAACATAATATGTACGTTTACTGCTCAGTGAGGGGCCTTGTTAATGAGTGAATAAACACCTGTGTGTGAGACCTGCCTAATTGTTAGGTTTGAGAACGCCTCCCCTTTGTCAAATGAGTAGTCCCGCTAGCTCTCGGAGCTGAAATGTGAAACTGAAATTTCATCTTGTTCATTATCTTTTCTGTGTGTTTTTAATTAGTTAAAAAAAAAGGTATTAAGTAAACAAAGTAAATTAACATGGTATACAATTTTTTTTTTAAAGATTTTATTTATTTATTTGAGAGAGAATGAGAGATAGATAGCACAAGAGGGAAGAGGGTCAGAGGGAGAAGCAGACTCCCTGCTGAGCAGGGAGCCCGATGCGGGACTCGATCCCGGGACTCCAGGGTCATGACCTGAGCCGAAGGCAGTCGCTTAACCAACTGAGCCACCCAGGCGCCCCAACATGGTATACAATTTAAAAAGCACAGAAGAGTAAGCAAAAATAAATCTTCCTTGGGATGCCTGGGTGGCTCAGTGGGTTAAGCATTTGCTAGAGAGAAGTTTTTTTTTAAGATTTTATTTATTTATTTATTTATTTGAGAGAGAGAGAGAGAGAGAGAGAGAGAGGGCGCGCGCACACACGCACAAGCACAAGCAGAGGGTGCGGCAGAGGGGAGGGAGAGAATCTTTCAAGCAGGCTCCCGGCTGAGCAAGGAACCCGAGGGGGCACTCGATCCCAGGACCCTGGGGTCATGACCGGAGCCAAAGGCAGACGCTTGACCGACTGAGCCACCCAGGTGTCCCTAGAAATGCAATTTTCTATTGACTGCTTATACTAGGGTATACAACTCATAGGCACTGGAGAACTATATTTATATTTGAGAATAAAATAGATTCCTTTGTGGGATAGTTCAGGCATGACAGGTTCTTCAGACCCTAAATATATTTATATGCCTTGATTCAGAAATTTCATTTGGTAGCGCTATTTATAATAGCAATTTTTTCTTAAGTTCTTAATTTTTAAAAAAAATTTTTTTAAAAGATTTTATTTATTTATTTGAGAATGACAGTGAGAAAGAGTGTGCACAAACACGGGGGAGGGGTAGAGTCTCGAGAAGCAGGCTCCCTGCTGAGCAAGGAGCCCAGTGCGGGGCTTAATCCCAGGACCCTGGGATCATGACCTGAGCCGAAGGCAGACGCTTAACTGACTGAGCCACCCAGGCGCCCTTAGGTTTTTAATTTTAATTCCATTGTAGTTAACATACTGTGTTATATTAGTTTCAGGTATACTATAATAGCAAAATTTTTTTTATTATGTTAATCACCATACATTACATCATTAGTTTCTGATGTAGTGTTCCATGATTCATTGTTTGCGTATAACACCCACTGCTCCATGCAGAACATGCCCTCTTTAATACCCATCACCAGGCTAACCCATCCTCCCACCTTCCTATAATAGCAAAATTTTGAGAGAAAACTGAATGTCTGGATATTAGGAAATAATTTAATAAGTTCTTACATGCATCTTAAATATAATATTTTTGAGGAATTTGTAACAATATGAGCAGATTTCAGCAATATGTAAAACTGAATATTAAGTGTGGTCTCAATTAAAAAGAAAAAAATGAAACAGAAATAGATTGGAAAAAATATATCAAAAATGTTTTAGTGACTTGGGATGATTTTTCTTAAAACTTTCTTTTGCAAATTTTCTACGATGAACATGTATTTTATGAATTTGATAGCATTATTTGATAAAAGCATAGCTTGGTTCTCAAACCCTCTGATACTGGGGTTATTAAATGTAAAAAAAAAATCTCTTGAATCAGTATTATTGCAGTAAGCTTATTTTTTGGTCTAAAGATATTAGTGCTTTTTCTAGTTAATGTAATGCTCCTTACAAAGAGTCTTATATTTACCTCATGTACTTTTTCTTGTAGATTCTAGATTTATTTCACGTTCAAGATAAATTGACAGCACGGCAGTTTCAAAGAGTTGCCACCAGTACCTTTATAACAATGTCAAGAGAACACCCACAATTTGCTTTGAAGTATTTGCTTCAGCCTCTTGTAGCTCCTCTCCATCGATGTTTAAGTACAGCAGGTAAAGAAGGAAGTCTGGTGGTTGGGTGTCCTTCTCAAGGATCTTCCTCCGTGTTTCAGATTTAAATGACTTAAGTCTGTTGTATTTCAGTGACTTTAGTTTTGCTTTCTTTTGTCCCCAAGTTTTTATTTTGAAAAATCCGCCTCACAAAAGTTCCAAGAAGAGTACATTGAACCACTCCTATACACTTTACCTGGATTGACCATTTTGGCCATATTCATTTTATCTTTCTCTTTTTATACGTGTACATTTTTTTCTGAAGCACTTGAGAGTTGGCTGCAGACGTCATCTAATATACAGACTTGATTCGGGGCGCCTGACTGGCTTAGTCGGAAGAGCACGCAACTCTTGATCTTGGGGTCATGAGTTTGAGTCCCATGTTGAGCATAGAGATTACTTAAAAATACATAAAGTTAAAAAAATAATATACAGACTTGATTCAGATTTCTCTAAGTGTCTCAAGAATTTCCTCTGTAGCTGTTTTTTTTTAATCTAGAATCCAGTCAAGAATCATGCATTTCATTTACTTGTTACATCTTTTTAGTTTGCATTAAGGTAGAATAGTTCCCTAGTCTTTTGTTTTTCACCATGACAGATTTTTTTTCCAGATGAATACACTTCCTTTATCAAGGGTGACAAACCAAAACAAAACCCGTAAACCCCAAACATTTAAAAACCCAGGGTGCTGGAAATACAAACTCAATTCATTTGAATTCAAGCTCATCCAGATGCAGTCACAAACCCTAGTGAGATGCATGTGAGCACCAGGGCTGGGAGAGGGGGTCAGGAGTGAGGCCAAGAGAAAGGGTGGGAAGGGGCCCCCATAGGTTCCCTAGGGATCACCCTCACAGTGGTACCTCCACCTTCCCAGTGACAGTGAAGACCTGCTAGGCCCTAACCTTTGGACCTCCCCCATCCCTGATGAGGGCTTTGAAGGTCAGTCCCAAGTGGCTCTGCCTTCCCTTGCTCAGTCCTTACTTGCTCCCAGCCTCACTTTTCTCCTCCTCCACATTCTTTTCTGTGAGCCACAGTGAGGCTGGGGGCTAGGAGAGGCAGGGTGGAGTACCGGTGAAGAGAGAAGAGCTGTCCCAGGATCCCAAACGGTGCAACCAGCTCCTCTTAAACATCTGCTCCGATCTGAGGAAGTGCCCTGGAGGCTTAAGCAGCTGTCCTGGAGACCTGCTGCAAGTGGGAGAAGGGGAGGGGCTCACTGGCCCGCACATGGTGGGGCTGGCAGGTGAGTGATGGCGGCGGTGGGTCAGCCTGGTGCTCCACACAGCCACGTGGGTGCTCTCCTGCCATGCTGGGTCCGTGTACTCACACAGCTCCGTGCTCTGGGGGTCTGCAGCAGACACTCGGGTGATGTTGCTGGCTGTCTCAGCAAGGGTCGGGGAGAGCAGGGCCTGCTCATCTGTGCGAGCCGTGAGGCAGGCTGTGGTGGTTGGGCTCAGCTCCATTGAGGGCTTTGGTAGGCAGGCCGCTAGGGGTCCAGCAGCAGCTTCTGCTCCTCTTGGTCCTGGTTCAAATCCTCATTCTCTGTAGCAGCTCCCTGTGGCTGGGGTCCGGCCAGGCGCTCAGGCCACACTGAGGAGGGATGGCATATGTCCTCAACGGTATTTTTGAAGAGCCTTGTTTATAAAATATTCTGCAATTTGTATGTCTAATTATTTCCTCATGATTAGATCCAGATTAAACCTTTCAGCAGCAGTACTACATAGGATGAAGGTTATTTTTTCTCAGTTTCCATCAGATTAGGGGGCACATGTTATCAGTTTATCCCATTGTTAATGATGTTAAATTTGGTCATTTCATTAGTAGCCATATTTCTCCATTAAAATACCTTACTTGTAATTAGTAAATAATCTATGGGTTGATAGTCTGAGACTATATGTATTCTGTTTCCTGATAGTCTTTCATACTGTGGTTTGATAACCATTAATGATTCTTGCCAGTAAAATGGTGGCTTTCTATTTCTTTTGTTATTTCTAATTTGTTAGGCTGGCATTCTTTTTTTTTTTTTTTAAGATTTATTTATTTATTTGAGAGAGAGAATGAGAGAGAGAGAGCATAAAGGGGGGAGGGTCAGAGGGAGAAGCAGACTCCCTGCTGAGCAGGGAGCCCGATGCGGGACTCGATCCCGGGACTCCAGGATCATGACCTGAGCCGAAGGCAGTCACTTAACCAACTGAGCCACCCGGGCGCCCCTGGCTGGCATTCTTCTATAAAGCAGAGCTTTTCTTTCTCCTTGCCTCATCCCTCCCCCCCCCCCGTTTTTTTTTTAAGATTTAAAAAAAATTTTAAGTACAAGCTACCCTGCCAGCATGGGGCTGTAGCTCACAACCCCATGGTCGAGAGTGGCATGTTCTACTGACTGAGCCAGCCAGGAGCCCCACCTCATTTTAAAAAACTATTTAAGTATCAGAAAGATTCAGAGAGGGCTCACTTCGGCAGCACATGTACTAAAATTGGAATGATACAGAGAAAATTAGCATGGTCCCGTGCAAAGATGACAAGCAAATTCATATAGTGTTCCATACTTTAAAAAAATAGATTCAGAGATTCTTTTTTATTCATTGGGTTATCAGACATTCCTGTCATTCATTTTGATGCTCAGATTTTCCCATATTTGGTGGGTTTTATTCTGTTTTAATGTCTTAGAAAATTGACGTTTTACCACCTCCTTTAGTATGTTTTCATACTTCGCTGAGTTTTTTCCCCCTATACCTTACTGTATTTAATGTTTGGATACAGAGTATTATTTCAGCATTGTTCCTTTAAAAAAAGGAAAACCTTTCTAAAAGGTGGTAAGAAGTTTGATGTTATGGTTAAACCAAATTTAGTTCTGTGTAGACTTTTTCAAAAAGTCATTTGTAGTATAAATTTTTCTGGGCACGTGTGGTGGTGGGGTGGTGGCCAGGGACAGAGAAAGCCTAATTTTTTTTTTTTTTAAGTAGTTTCCACACCCAGTGTAGAGCCCAGTCCAGGGTCTTGAACTAACAACCCTGAGATCAAGACCTGAGCTGAAGTCAAGAGTTGGATATTTAACCCACTGACCCACCCAGGTGCCCCAAGAAAGTCTAATTCTGGTGCATAGTAAAACTTCACCAAACTGAGCCTGGTGAAGTAAAATTTGTGATTATTCAGATGTGATAAACATCGTGTGTGTGTGTGCGTCTGTGCTTGTATGTATTTATTTTATTTATATATATTTTTTGGTGTCTCTGGTTGGGTCCAAACTAAACATGATATTTGAGTAAGTAAAATTCCTTTATATATTTCATAGAAATCTAGTCTAGAATCAGTATGTCCTTCAAAAAATGGCTCAATAAATGAAGTCTTATTTCCTTTCTTTTTAAAGATTTTTAAGTCATCTCAACACCTAACCTGGGGCTTGAACTTACAGCCCCGAGATCAAGAGTCATGCTGTACCACCTGAGCCAGTCGGGCACCCCTGAAATATTATTTCTGTTGGCCTTCAGCATTAGGGTCTAGCAATTCTTATATATCTAATTTCATGTACTAAGACTATACCTCATTACTAATCTATCTATTCTCTTGTTCCAGCAATCTGTGTTTTAACAGACCCTTCTGGGTAATTCAAATGTGTGCTCAAGTTTGAGTCCTGGTCTAAGAGCACTATTCTTGGGAGGCCTAGATTCAGTCCATTTGCGGATTAATTATTTTTTTCCTAGACCTTGTTCATTCATTTTACAAATATTTATTGGACATCTGTTTCCAGGCATTTCTTAATGTGTTAGATTATATTTGTAACACCAGCTACATGTTTTGCATCAACAATCTATGGATAACAAAAAGGACTATATAATAGTCTGACTGGTTTTATTTTTTTATTTTTGTTTTTTTCAAAGATTTTATCTATTTATTTGACAGAGAGAGAGACAGTGAGAGAGGGAACACAAGCAGGGGGAGCAGGAGAGGGAGAAGCAGGCTTCCCGCGGAGCAGGGAGTCTGATGTGGGGCTTGATCCCAGGACCCCGGGACCACGACCTGAGCTGAAGGCAGACACCCAACGACTGAGCCACCCAGGTGCCCCAGTAGTCTGACTGGTTTTAGATAGATAGCCCCATCATTGCCACTGGAAAAACAATCTAAAATAATAAGCTTTCTTATTTTGTTTTTTATATTGTATCATTTTTTTTTTAAGATTTTATTTATTCATTTGAGACACAGAGATAGAGAGCATGAGCAGGGGGAGAGGCAGAGGCAGAGGGAGAAGCAGGCTCCCCGCTGAGCCAGGAGCCCGATGTGGGGCTTGATCCCAGGACCCTGGGATTATGACCTGAGCTGAAGGCAGACGCTTAACCATCTGAGCCACCCAGGCGCCCCTTGTATCATATTTTTAACACTATGTGGCGATTATGATGAATTCCCATATTTTATCAATTCTAAGACGTGCTTTTCACATAAAAAACTTTAATTTTGAAAAAAAAAACTTTAATTTTGGAAATATTTTTCACATTTTAACAACTCTGATATCAAGATGCATCTCACAATTATTTTTGGCCAGATAATAGTCATGGCATTGCTAGTGCCTGCAAATGAGCATTAAATTTTGTAGAATGGGCATCAGCAACTTAGAAAAAAATCATGAAGACAGTAGTAGAGTGGCGAACTTTTAAGAAATGTCACATCACCTGCGCCCTTGGTGGCACAGAAGACAATATATTATGGTAAAATATGGAAATCAGTAATGGCATTGAAATGTTTCAGAAGAGTTGGACTCTTAGTGTGAAGTTTCAAGAACTCCTTATTCGGTTTATCCTAATTATATAGCTTATATAAGGAATGATATATATTAAAACTGTTTGTTTAAGTAAATCTAAAAGAACTCTCAATACTTTTTTTTATTAAGTTTTTAAATCTTCATTCCAGTATAGTTAACATAGTGTTAAGTTAGTTTCAGGTGTACAGTGTAGTGATTGAACAGTTCTCTTACTCAGTGCTCATCATGATAAATGTATTCGTTAATCCTCATCACCTGTTGCACCATTTCCCTTACCCATCTCCCCTCTTTTAATACTTTCTTAAAAACTCTATTAAAATTTTGTTTTAAGATTTTATTTTTAAGGGGTGCCCTGGGTGGCTCAGTAGGTTAAGCATCTGCCTTCTGCTCAGGTCATGTTCCCAGGGTCCTAGGACCGAGCCCCATGTTGGGCTCCCTGCTCAGTAAGGGAGTAAGTAAGTAATTTGTACACCCGACGTGGGGCTCAAACTCACAACCCTGAGATCAAGAGTCTGCTGTTCCACCAGCTGAGCCAGCCAGGTGCCCTATTTTAAAACTTTTTTTTTTTTTAAGATTTTATTTATTTATTTGATAGAGAGAGACACAGCGAGCGAGGGAACACAAGCAGGGGGAGTGGGGGAGGGAGAAGCAGACTTTCTGTAGAGCAGGGAGCCCGATGCAGGGCTCGATCCCAGGACCCTGGGATCATGACCTGAGCCGAAGGCAGACGATTAACGACTGAGCCACCCAGTTGCCCCTAAAACTTTTTAAAGGGAAACTTTCTTTTCTTTTTTTTTTTTTTTTTAAAGATTTTATTTATTTATTAATGAGAGACAGAGAAAGAGAGAGAGAAAGGCAGAGGGAGAAGCAGGCTCCCAAGGAGCAGGGAGCCCAATGCAGGACTCGATCCCAGGACCCTGGGGTCATGACCTGAGGTGAAGGCAGACGCTTAACCATCTAGCCACCCAGGCCGCCAAGGGAAATTTTCAGTCACGTCTGTAGAGAAAAGTTTTATAAATTCCTTTGTACCAGTCACCTCAGTGTAACCATTGACTCTGTCATTTTCATTTAATCTAATCCCCATTTTTTTTTTTAAGATTTTATTTATTTATTTGAGAGAGAGAGAATGAAAGGAGCACGAGAGGGAGGAGGGTCAGAGGGAGAAGCAGACTCCCCGCTGAGCGGGGGAGCCTGAAGCGGGGGACTCGATCCTGGAACTCCAGGATCATGACCTGAGCTGAAGGCAGTCACTTAACCAACTGAGCCACCCAGGTGCCGCGAATCCCCAGTTTTTTTATTCATTAAATTTACAAGTAAAATTTTAAGTCATAATGTTTCATAGGTTACTTGTTTTTTTCCTCTTTAGTGATACATAAAACAATAATGAATGTTTATAATCTTGTTGGCATCATAGATTTCATGAAATACTGTATTTGATGTTGTACATTAGTAACCATGTCAAATCTCTAATTTTAGCTGTTACTTATAGAACTATCTTTGTAGTAAAATTTTCTTTCTCAAGTCCTGAGTCCCTATTCAGTGAGGCACTGAGTATGGGTAATTTTGTTTTTTGTTCTTTAGAGATTCCAGAGAGTGACATGGTGCCAGGGATCATTTTGGTGACAGAAGAAGAACTTACTAGGTGTATTGAGGATGTATTTAAGGTTGGTAATTTGAGTCACTAATGTTTTTAGCTAATATTTATACTTAGTCTTTTAAAAGAGTTTTGCCTTTTTAATTGGTACTTCAAGAATTGGAATGACTAATCTTGAATTCCAAATGATCAATATTTTTTCACTCTGAAAACTGGAAACTAAGCTGTTATTAAAAATCTGATATATTTTGAAACTGTCAATTTCATCATTTACTCTGAATGTTAAACAGTTTAGATTCTCTAAGTAGCACATACCACTGATGAAAACATATCTTTTGAAGAAACTAACAGTGACATTGCAATACTATAGGTTTCTAAAACTGTATGATAGTATTGAATCTACTTTATATCTTTTGATAGTAATCACCATCATAAAAAGTCTGAATAAATGAATCTTGCAAATGACTACCTAAATATATTACTGAAAATGGAAAAAAATATATATTCTCTATGATTGCGGTCTTATAAATATATATGAAACATATTTTTAGACAAAAAATGAAATCCATTGTGTGAGGGCCAGATGGAGCTGGGTAAGTATTCTTCTTTAAAGCTTATTTCAATAAATTCATAATAGTATTTTATTATTAAAAATATCCACACTAGTAAACAGCTTTCAAAATTATATTCCATGTAAAAAGGTACATCTGCTCTGGAAAATAGTTTGGCAGTTCCTCAAAAAGTTAAACATGGAGTTACTATTATATGACCCAGTAATTCCACTCTTAGGTATATACCCAAGAGAAATGAAAACATGTTCAGACACAAACCTGTTGCACAGATGTTCATTGCAGCATTATTGATAATAACCAAAACATGGGAACAGCCCAGGTGTCTATCAACTGATAAATGGATAAGCAAATGTGATACATCCATATAATGAAATATTTTTTTGCCATAAAAAAGAATGAAGTATGGACACATGCCACAACACAATCATTTAAAAATAACAATTAAAAACATTTTTTTTTAAAGATTTTGTTTATTTGACAGAGACAGACTCAGCAAGAGAGGGAACACAGGCAGGGGGAGTGGGAGAGGGAGAAGCGGGCTGCCCGCAGAGCAGGGAGCCCGATGTGGGGCTTGATCCCAGGACCCTGGGATCATGACCTGAGCTAAAGGCAGACGCTTAACGACTGAGCC